TAAATAAATAAAATCTTTAAAAAAAAAATAAAAAAATAAAATGAGTCTCTTGTAGACAGAATATCAGTGGGTCTTGCTTTTTTATCCAGTCTCTTACCCTGTGTCTTTTGATTAGAGCATTTAGTGCATTTACAATCAGAGTAACTATTGAAAGAAAAATATGGAATGCTTCACAAATTTCCCTGTCATCCTTGCATAGGGGCCATGCTAATATGCTCTGTATCATTCTGGTTTTAGTATGTGTGCTGCCAAAGTGAGCACGCTATGTTTTCTTCTAGAAGTTTTATAACTTTAAGTTTTAGACCATGTTCCTTATTGAGTTAGCTTTTATAATGGTGTGAGGTATATGGATATATACCTTTTGCATATGGTATTGTGTTGATCCAGCACCGTTTATTGAAAACACTCTGTTGAATTGCAAAGTTGTTGAGAATTAATTGACCTTATTTGTGTGGGGTTATTTCTGGGCTTTTTGATTCTTTTGCATTGATTTATATGTCTCTCCTTTCATCAACACTACACTTGAAAACTGTAACTTTATAATAAGTCATGAAATTAGGTAATGTTCAGTTCTCTAACTTTGTTCTTTTTCAAAATTGTTTTGGCTCTTCTAGTTACTTTACCTTTCTATATTAATTTCTGCATCAGCTTAGCAAACTTTTTTAAAGACCCTTACTAGAGTTTGAATTCAGACTTTTAAAAACCATTGACAATGGATATAGTACTTGCTTTTTTAAAATTTATGTGTTTTAAAATGTCACTTCATTTAAAATGTCTCATTTTGCAGACTTTATGGACTCTAGTATATAATTGAGGCTGCAGTAACACAGAATTGTGAATAATGTAGATGAGCTATCATGTTGTGAAACCTTGATCTCAGCATATTGTAATTTCTCATGTAGCTGTCACATTGGAAATGAAAGAATCAAGGCAGGGCAGAGGGAGGGCACTTAGGTGAGGTGGTTGGGAGCACATTCAGACATCTGGCTTCAAGTTCTGTCCCTGCCCATGTACTAGCTGTTTGTCTTGGATTTAGTTCTGAAATTGGAATAATGACAATTTACTTGAGAATTTTTGACAATGGAAAATAATTGAAAATTTATCTCTGCAATCTCAAAAAGCTGTTGTTTTAAAAAGTGTGTGTATTTATTTTTATTGGGACATAATTCTCATACCATTCACTCAAAGGGTAGTTTTGAATATTCACTGATACAGTGTGTATCTAAGAATTTATTGCTGTGACTAGCACCTAATACACTTTATAACTGTTAATGATCATTATAAAAGAAAAGAATGTGTTTAGAGCAATACTAATTGACATACAGAGATTAAAGTCTCTGTATGAGTTTGCTAGGGTTGCTATCACAATGTACCACACACTAAGTGGCTTAATGATTTATTGTCTCAGTTTAAGAACAAAGTGTTGGCAAGGTTGATTCCTCCTGAGGCTTCTCTCCTTGGCTTGCAGATGGCCATCTTCTCCTTTTGTCTCTTCCCATTGTCTTCCCTCTGTGCATGTTTCTGTGTCCAAATTTTCCCTTCTTATAAGGACACCAGTCATGTTGGATTAGGGCTCAGCCTGATGATCTGATTTTAACTTGATTACCTCTGTAAAGATCCTATATCTAAATAAGGTCACCTTCTGAGGCACTGGGGGTTAGAACTTCAATATATGAATTTTAGGGGGACACAGTCCAACTCATAACACTCCATCCTCCAGTCTCCAAAAGTCATGTCCTTTTCACCTATAAAATACATTCACTCTATTCCAACATCCCCCAAAGTCTTAACCCATTCCAGCATCAACTCTAAGTCCAAAGTCTCATTCATGATGGTTAATTTTAGGTGTCAACTTGGCTGGGTTATGGGGTAGTTAGATATTTGGTCATATGTCTGTTAGGGTGTCTCTGGATGAGGTTAACATTTGAATGGGAAATTGAGTAAAGCAGATTGCTGTCCCTGATGTGCGTGGGTCTCATCAGTTGAAGGCCTGAACAGAACAAAAAGGCTGAGTAAGAGGTGCTCCTCCGGCCTGACTGCCTTTGAGCTGGGACATCAGTTTTTTCCTGTCTACAGACTGAAGCATCAGCCCTTCCTGAGTCTCATGCCTGTTTGCCTTTGCACTAGTAGAACTACACCAATGGCTCTCCTGGGTCTGCAGCTTGCTGACTGCAGATATCGGGGCTTGTCTGCCTACATTTATATACATGTATGTGCACCCCACACACACACACAACCCTACTGGTTCTGTTTCTCTGGAGAACCTTGGCTAATATATCCTGTAAATATCATCTGAATCAGGTATGGGTGAGACTCAGAGTTTGATTAATCCTGAGGTAAAATTCTTCCACCGCTGTGAAGACAGACAAGTTATCTGCTTCCAAATATGATCATGGGCATGGGCATAGGATGGACATTTCCACTGTAAAAGGGAGACATCAGGAGAAAAGAGGTCATAGGTCCCAAGCAAGTCTTTGACCTAGCAGGGAAAATTTCACTGGATTTTGAGGTTTGGAGAATAATCCTCTTTGGGTCTAGGCTGTGTCCTCTGGCCCACAGAGGTGGTGGCCCTACTCCGGGGCCAGGAAGTTACTGGCCCTGGTTCCTCAACCTGTGCCCGTGGTGGCAGAGAGAAGCTCACTGGACTCTGATTTGCCTTTGGGACCATTTTTCCCTTGTCTTAAAAGATAACACCTGTTTACAGCCAGTTGGTTCTGTAGGCTCATTGCATACCAGTAGAATCCCAGAAATCCAATAGCCGCCCTTTGTTTTGTCCAGCTCTGCCTCTTTGGTGCAAACTGGCAGTGTTTCTATTCTTGAATTTTTTTTTTTTTTTAAACTTTGTTGGCTTTCCAGGCAATTCATGGGGGTCCAAGTCATTAGACAAGAGGGTTCTCCACAGATCTTTCCTGGATAACCACATTTCTATTCCTAGCTTCTGCTGAGATGATTGATAGGATTCATGAATCCATGTGCTTGATCTCTTCAGCAAACAATTTTTCAGCCATACCCTTGGCCCTGTTTCCAGAGGGTTGTTATCTGGGTAGGCTAAGAATTTTCCAAACCTTGGAGTTCTAATTCCTTTCCGCTTAACAATTCCTCCTTCAATTTATCCCTTTCCTTTTTCATTTTACTATGAGCAGTATGAAGAAACTAGACCACACCTTCAGTACTTTGCTAGGAAATCTCCTGAGCTGAATATCCAAGTTTATCACTTACAAGTTCTCCAAAACACTAGAACACAATTTGGCCAAGTTCTTTGCCACTTTATAACAAGAGTTCCTTTCCTCTAATTTCCAATAAATAACATGTTCCCCATTTCCATCTGCGACTTCACCAGAAGCATTTTAATATTCATATTTCTTGCCAAATTCTGTTTATGATGTATGTTTATTTTCTGACAACACAAGCTTTCTCTACAGCTCTCTTCTTTTCGTTCGGAGCCTTCATCAGGATCTCCTTTGCTGTTTCTATCAACTGTCTCTTCAAGGCAGTATAGGCTTTTTCTATCAACTGTCTCTTCAAGGCAGTATAGGCTTTTTCTATTAACTGCCTCAGAACTCTGACAGTCTCTACCTGTTACCCAATTCCACAGTCATTCTACACTTACAGGTCGTTGCTATTATAGTATCCCGCTTTCTGGTACCAAAATCTGTATTAGGCTTCGAGATGTATATGTGCAAGACAGAACTAGTAGGAGGTGGTGTGTGCGTGTGCGCACACGTGTGCTCATGTATGTAAATGCAAGCAGACCAGGCCCAGGATCTGCAGTCGGCAGGCTGCAGACCCAGGAGAGTGGTTGTAGTTCTAGTGCAAAGGCAAGCAGCCTTGAGACTCGGGAAGGGCTGATGCTTCTCTTACAGTCTGGAGGCAGGAAAATACTGATGGCCCAGCTCAAAGGCAACATATATGTGTGTATATACATACATATATAGAGAAAGAAAGAAAGACAGAAAGAGATACTAATCGTTGGGTACTGCTCACGTGATTGTGAGGCTGCCAAGTTGGGAATCTTCAGGGCAGGCTGGCAGGCTGAAAATTCTGGCAGGAATGAATGTTGCAGTCTGGAGGCCAGATTCCTTCCTCTTTGGAGGATGTGGAGGACCTCAGGCTTTTAAGGCCCTTAACTGATTGGGTGAGGGCCACCCACAATATGAAGACTAATCTGCTTTACTCAGAGTCTATGGATTCAAATATTAATCCTATCTAAAAAATACCTTCACTGGGCGCCTGGGTGGCTCAGTTGGTTAAGCGACTGCCTTCAGCTCAGGTCATGATCCCGGAGTCCCGGGATCGAGTCCCGCATCGGGCGGGCTCCCTGCTCAGCAGGGAGTCTGCTTCTCCCTCTGACCCTTCCCCCTCTCATGTGCTCTCTGTCTCTCATTCTCTCTCCCTCAAATAAATAAATAAAATCTTAAAAAAATAAAAAATAAAAAATACCTTCACAGCGCCATCTTGACTGGTGTTTGACTAAGTAACTGGCTACCGTAGCCTAGCCAAGTCCACACATAAAATTAACCATCACCGTCTACAGTAAAAAATCATGCTGATGGTGCTTCTCTTAGGCAGTTGTACCAGGAAAACCCTCTTCGTTTTATCCAGTGGGTTTTAGGAAAGTAGTACATTGAATGCGGTGTAAGAAACTTTCAGCATCTGTGGTTAAGATGTACAATAATCTTTCTGTATTAGTGGCTTTTATTTTAAAAACTCAACATTGGGGCACCTGGGTGGCTCAGTCGTTGAGCGTCTGCCTTTGGCTCAGGTCATGATCCCGGGGTCCTGGGATCGAGCCCTACATTGGGCTCCCTGCTCTGCCGGAAGCCTGCTTCTCCCTCTCCCACTCCACCTGCTTGTGTTCCCTCTCTCGCTCGCTCTCTCTCTCTGTCAAATAAATAAATAAAAATCTTAAAAAAAAAAAAACACTCAACATTTACCCCATCTTAGAGATGAGAAAAGAAAGGCTTAGTAGTTAGCACAGGGGACATGGCGGAGCCTGCATTTGAATCCCTTCTGCTTCACTTCTCCGCTGTCCGACTGCCTGTTGGTTAGTTAGGGGTGAGATGGTGGTCGTGGAAGAAGTGTTTGCTTGGAGGAAACCTAAGATGTTCAAGGGGAGTTTTACGAAGTAGGATATTATGGTGAAGGATAAGTAGAAAGGATCTGTCTTCATAATGTCAGATTTATTTAATTTTTAGGAAAAAAATTTAAAATACAGAAAAGTACAGACTAAAATGACAGACATCTTTGTATGTATGAACCAAAGTAAACAGTATTTGCTTCAGTTTTGTAATAAAAGAAAACAATGACCGAGATTCCTGTGCCTCCTCTTACTTCCTTCCCTCTCGTCCACCCTCCTCTCTCACCCAGGCAAAACACTGATGAATTCGATGCCGGTTCTTTCTTGATTTTATACTTTTGTAACGTGTATATTAAGACCAATTAATTAATGCTTTTATTTTTAAAAATTAACCCACATTTCTTACCTACACCACATATACAATTTCATTCATAATAAACAAAGTCTTATAGCCATAAACCATTCAGTAATAATTGCTAATATTTACAAAGCAGCCCTGGTTCTGAGACCTTTACATGTATTTACGCATTTAATTTTTGTAACAGTCCCATGGGTTATATATACTCTTATTTTTCCCATTTTACAGATGAAGGGATTGAGGCACAGAGAGCTTAAATAACTTACCCAAGGGTCACAAGATATAAGTAGCAGGGCCACTGCCCCTTACAGACAGTATTGTTATAAATGTTAAAAAAAAAAAACACTGAATGATGATACCGCACTAACTGAGCAGTCAGTAGTTGGTCCTTTGGTTGCATATGATGCAGTTAATTGATTCAAGATGGGACTGATGGCAGGGAAAGAAAACTGTAGAAAAACAACTTATGTAAATGCTATCATAGTGTACTTAACAATCAAACACTTGGGTTTCACTCAAACATTGTTCTTGAGATTCTGTTTGTTTTGATAAATATGGGCCTGGTTAATTCCATTAAAATAATGTGCTTTATGGTTTCTGTCTTATGATCGTACCATCTTCTTTTGGTCCATTCTCATATTAATGGATATTCAGTTTTGTGTCTTCCATTCTCTATATTACAAGAAAATGCTGCAGTGAACATCTGTGTACTTGTGCACTCAGGTGAGAGTCTGTCTGGGCCCACTCCCCTGGTAGGGGAGTAGCTCAGTTAAAGGGTATTTACATTTTCAGCTTTTCCAGGTATTGGCAACTTATTCTCCCAGATGTTACGTCTCAGTTCACAGTTGACATTCGCGCTAGGGAGAGACCGAATGCATACAGACAATGGCCAGACCATATGTAAAAATAGAACTCTGACCTGCAGCCTGCAGACACCTGCCCAGGAAGCCAGCCCCTTATCTACAATAAGCAGCCCAGGAAACCAGCTTGCTGTGAGTCAGACTTGCAGGAAGTCACTGTCTTAATTTGCATTTGACTGATTACTAATGAGATGGAGCCCATTGTATAAGACAGTCCTTTCCAGAAAGGAGTTATGAAATTACCTTTTAGAATAGGTGAGGATTCCAGTAGCACATGGTTTAACTTTACTCGTTTCTGAAGAGAAGGGAGGAAGCCTAGAATCGTTATCTTAGACTTTTTCTTTAAGCAGAAAAAGTCTGTATTTTTTTCCAAACTAAATTTTAAGGAGAACAGTAAGCGAGATGAAAACTGGAGCTCCTCAAGTAAAATGAAGTCAGTAGTATGGTTCCACGTGCCTGGCCACCTCCCCTTCCTGCCTGTCTTCCCTGCCCCTAGATCACCTGAAACGCTGGTGGAATCCTCGGGCTGGCTGATAGGCTCCGGGATGCCTCCTGGCGCGAGAATTTGACGAAATCCCATTTTTCATCTCTCTACACCCAGAACCTCTACAAGACTTGGGGCTGACTGTATTCTGTTTCTTTGGTCTTCTGGCAGGCAGGAGTTCGTGGATGCTTACGTGAATTACGTCTTCCAGCTCTCAGTTCACGAATGGTACACAGCCTTCTCCAGTGGCTTCCTAAAGGTTTGTGGTGGCAAGGTGCTTGAGCTCTTCCAGCCCTCCGAACTACGGGCTATGATGGTGGGGAACAGCAACTACAACTGGCAGGAACTGCAAGAGGTGAGTAGAGACCGGACTGTCTTTCCCTCCGAGGAAGCAGCCATGGCCTGGCCGGGTGGGCCCAGAGCCTGGTCTCTTTCCAGGCGGTCTGTGCTTGAGGAGCAATTGGAGGCCTCCTTATCTCATTGGTTATTTCTTACTCTCAACCGCAAACGGTGCACAAATGTATGTCCTCTATAATATTCTTCTTCTCTAAGATAGGTTTTTTTTTCTATTTGTCTTTTTTGGGCAGACTGCCATCTACAAGGGTGATTACTCAGCCACACATCCCACTGTGAAACTATTTTGGGAAACATTTCATGAGTTTCCATTGGAAAAGAAGAAGAAGTTTCTCTGTAAGTATCAGTCATGTTAACATGGTGTTTGTCCACATGTTAGTGTTGCATATGGTGGAGGATGATATACCCCGTAGGTTAAGGTCAACTCTTAAATGAAAAAGAGTAAGTGAGGGGAATATATTTCCACTTCTTTTCTTAATGAGATCTTAGGCAAACATAGGTCGTACTTCCGTATTTGTTGCCTGATAGGATGTGTTGCATGAAAGAAAGAAAAGAAGCATTTCACTGATTTTCAATTGCTTTAGAAATATTAGTTATTTTATATGTGAGTATGATAAAATATTACGTTGATAAAATCTAAATGGATTAACTTCCCTTATCTCCCTAGGCTTTTGAAAAATTTACAGTGTCCGCTACAGATGTAACTGGGGAGATATGATTTACAATAGCTTTACTGAGATATGATCCACAAAGCATACAATTCACCCAATTAAAATGTATAATTCAGTGGTTTTTAGTATATTCACAGAAATGTGATACTATCAATAATTTTTAGAACATGTTCATCACCTCAAGAAGAAACCTTGAACTCATTAGCAATCATTCCCCATTTCCTCCCAGCCTCTCACCCCACCCGACCCCCACTTACCAATCTGCTTTCTGGCTCTGTGGATGTGCCTATTTTGGACATTTCACATAAATGGAATCATACAATATATGGTCCTTTGTGACTGGCTAGGTGACATTTGAGAAGGGTAATACACTTGGAAAGGAGAATGAAGCCTAGTTTACATGAACACGTTCAGCCTTTCAAAAATAGTTTTAGTCTTTGTGTCTGTATCTAATCAGGGTCAGAAATTTGCCAGTGAATAGTATAAAATTTTTATCTGTATAAAATAAAACAACATGATTTGAAAGGCAGTCCCTTTTGCTTTAAAGCATGAGCATATATTAATATTAATGCAAGGTGTACTCCCAGATTCTACTGCTCCCACAGAGTGAGGATGAGAGAAGTGGGGGGAGGGGCGGGCTTATACAAGAATGTTTTTAAAAAGCCCTGCTTCTCCTCTGCTTAGTTCCATTGGCTCTTGAGAATCGGTGGCATATAAGTCAAATGACAGGTTAAGGTTTGTCAAGGGAACTCGTAGGGCTGTACCAACCAAGAGGAGCATAGTCATGGAGATTTCCTTGAAAGACATTTTTCTGTTCAGAGATCATTAGACTTGTGGAAATTTTTAGTAACTCTGCAGATATTGGCAAGAATGTTTATATACCACAGCCTCAGGTAATAGGTTTTTTGAAAATGCTCCTTAACCAATGATTTGTTTGTAGTAATTTCCAGCAATTTAACTCTGAGGTTATGTAGTGCTAGAAAACATGGAAAGACGGCTGTGTTGGTCGCTCTCTCTTTTTTTCTTTTGCCAAGTCACAGTGTGTTACAAGAGTGAAATGTCTAACATAACATCATGGTCAGCTCTTTTGGTTTAAGAAAATTAGGGAAAGGAACAAACAGATCCCAAGTGGATATTCACTAGCTCAGGAGGGGTATACACACTAGACCCTTGGCCAGAGGAGACCTTGAGGTCCCACAGATGATGGTCTTCTTCCTGGCTTCCCCCTGAAGTCAGCTCTTCTTTTCCTCTCTGATTTTGTGACAGCTCATAACATTTATGAGGACATACATTTGATTGAGGCCATTTTTTATTTGAGGGCATCTTTCATTTGGACGGGTGGTTTGTGTCCGTGTATAATCAGGGTCTGAAATGAACTAGTAAAAAACAGAATTTTTATCCATATAAAACAACAACAACAAAAAACACCCCAGGATTTGAAATGCAATCTCTTTTGCTTTATAAGAACAAGCATAGATGAGTATTCATGCAGTACATAATGGCACATAAAAGTGTACTTCTCAGGCGAGCCACAGGGTGTCACGCCTCCCCCTCCTTTCCGTGGAGGGCTGCCGAGTGCTGCTCCTCAGCGGCTTGGCTCGTCATGTCCTTTCCCTTTCTCCTCAGTGTTCCTGACGGGCAGCGACCGCATTCCCATCTACGGCATGGCGAGCCTGCAGATCGTCATCCAGTCCACAACCAGCGGGGAGGAGTACCTGCCCGTGGCCCACACTTGCTACAACCTTCTCGATCTCCCCAAATACAGCAGCAAAGAGATCCTGAGCACACGGCTGACCCAGGCCCTTGACAACTATGAAGGGTTTAGTTTGGCTTGAGGCGCCCCAGCGTGCCCCAGATTTCCCTCCCTTCCTCAGTGTCCACATGGAGGCCCATACAGAAAACCATGGGGAAGGGAGTTCTATTTTTTTATTGTCTAAGTGGGTTGGGACTTTTGAATCCTGAACCTGGTTGATGTGTTTCTGGGCTTGTGAGCAGTAGGCAACCTTTTTGAAAAATCAGGGGTTGGGGACGGGGGTGAAAAATTGGCATTTTTGTTTTTAAACCAAATTACCTAGTAGTGTTCCTGGCACTTGTGAATATGTTGCACTCTGCTGGAGAAAATGGCAGTGGGTTTTTAACCTCTTATTTCCCAAATGTCTCTCTCAGCCCTGCTGTTTGCTCACAGTGCTTCCTGTCCTCCTCATTCCTCTGCAAGAATGATTTTGACTGATGCGTCCTTTCTCACGTGCACGTGCAGGACAGCTCCTCTCTCTGCAGACTTGGACATGCTCCTGGCTTGTTGCAGCCCTACTCTAAGGACTGAGGAGGCAAGGACTACTTTAGAAAGTCCCAAATATAGCAAGCTGAATCTGGGTCCATTATTTTGGCTGAACTCTGGAGAATTAAGGGGAGCCTTTATGAACACATCTTGCTTTAAAAAGAAGTTATCAAGGGAGTAGCAATCTCCCCTTGGCCCTGCCTATTCCTGGACCTACTTAAAGATGTGCAGAGCAGCTTAGCATTGCAGCTGAGCCGAATTTTGTTTTGTTGTTCAGCCAAGTCCCTTCGGCAATAAGGTGAGGTGATAGACTCCTACTCCTTTGGTTATCTCGCTTTTGGAGCAAGTTGCATTAATTTTTTTAAGAGTGTCTTCTCCAAGGAAAGTAGAAATAATACACTTCTTGTTCTCTTTCCCTATCAATTTATGCCCTCTGCCTCTTTCTCTTTCCTTCCTCTCCTTCCCTTTCTCTCTTCCCATCCAATTGACATGGGAAGACCTTCAACTCACTTCATCCCATTGTTACCTGATTTAATGCTCCCTTCCTCTTCTAGTGGATGCATGCAGTCTATTTTTTTAATTTCTATTTAAATTGCAAAGTTTCTATTTTTTTTTTCTTTTCCCTAATTGCTAACACTTAAGGACATTCTTTACTATGGGACTTTTGTTTATTGCATTTGAAATGTTTGTTTACAGTGGGATTTCAGGGGGGATTGTGTTTAGAGCAAATATATGTATCAAAAATAACGACATGCTCAACCTTCTTCATCATGGGATAAGAAAATTCTACATGATCAAAGAATCCATGTCAGCCTAATTTTAAATTCCTAGTCACTAGAGGAAAGACTTATTTATATAAAATGAAGTATTTATGAACCGTGATACAGCATCAGATCTCAATGAAGGATGTAGATTTTTGCTTTTTTTTTGTTTTTAAAACTTATTTCAATTGCTAAATTGGTAGTTTTTTCAGTCTTTATAATACAAGATTAAAAAAGATATAGTTATATGAAATGTTTATTTTCTATGTGTGTGCATATAGTTCAATATAATGCAATAAATTTGGTGTTTTAACTTAAAACTATTTCTTATTGTATTTGCAGAATGGGTAGCTTGCTTTCAGTAGAATTATCTACTCAAGTAATATAAGGTCAAATTTGGTTCCAGTAATAAGAAAGACCAAGCAGTAGGGAAATGGAGAAGAGAGCAGGGGCAGGATCCAAGGTAGGGGGAACAGGTAGCCTGACAGATGGATGGGATTTCTGAAGGTTGTGATGGGTGAAAAGACATTTCACATGGAGGGGAAGGGCCAGGAACAATTTGAAGAGAGCATCAGAGGAAATAGAATAATGGTAAATAAGATGGGGGGGGCAGGTAGGGAGAAGGTAGCTTTGGGGTTGAGGAACCAGGCTAAGCAATGGAACTTGAGTTGGTAGCCAAGCAAGATTTGTCAAAATGTTCAGAACTTTGGAGTGAGGGTAGAAGGGAGTGATAGGACTTAATTCGGTTTAAGAAGAAAACCAGATGGGGGTACATTTGGAGGAATTAGTCCTTTCCATTCTGAGAGCAGTGAGAGTGGCAGCAGTAGAAGCAGAAGAGTGCATGGAAGGAGGATCTAAAATGGTAGCACAGGAAGACCCTCAACTCACCTCCTCCATGGACACACCAAGTCTATACCGATCTGTAGAGCGGTTCCTCCTGAAAAACAACTGAGGGCTGACTGAACAATCCTGTACAACAAGGGTTGGAGGGACCACATAGACAATGGCAGGAGACATGGTAACAAGAACCCCAATCCCAATGCTGTGAACTGCAGTGGGGGGAGGGAGACTAAGGGACTGTGAGCAGATTTGTCTGTCCTGGGGGACAGAAAAACTTAATGGCTTAAAAGGGCAACTAGAATATAAAGAAACTAACCCTTCACCAGTGGGATGTTGGAGAAGCTGGTGAGAACCACTGTTTTTGTTCCCCCTCCACCTTGACAGCACAGAAAGGGGCAGAGTCTGGGTGCCTTAAGCATCCCACTGCCCTCAGCAGGCCCTGGGCCCCTAGACCACACCAGCCCTAACCACCCCTGGGGCACAGAAAAAAAAAACAAAACATGGTTTAAAGAGCAACTGGAATATAAAGGATCCAGCCCTTAGAGCTCTACCAAACAGTTGGGGAGCTGCAGAATGCACTTGGGTCTGAGAGGCAGGTGAATACTATAGTTTACATCTCCCCTCCACCTTGATAGTGCAGCTGGAAGCAAGATCTGGGCCATCCCCTAAAGGAGACTGCACAAGGTGGCCCCAGTACAGCATAGCTGGGACACCCCTGAACACCACCCACCATAGCTACAGCTGTCTCACCAAGGTGCAAAGCATCCCAGAACACTCCAGTCCCACACCTACTTTGGCTCAAGTTGTCTTGCCAGAACCCCGGGGAAGGAGTGCCCCAAGACCTCCCAGCCTGGCACACCACAGTTCCAGTTATCACACATCTAAGTACTCCCAGTGTGGATTACCCTGGGAGCCCTTTGCATAAGCCTTTATCCACTTTGGCTCTGGTTGCGCCCTGTGCAGAGTGCCCTGAGAGCCTCCTCCCCCAGTACCCCCATACCCACTTCAGCTCTAGCCATCCCACCAGGACTGCCCCAGTGCTGAGTGCCTTAGGGCCCCTGGCCTGAACCTGTTACAGCTCTAGCCAGCTAACCAAAGTCAACAGGCATGGGATGACCATACACAAGGCCATTCCTTCAAGTCTTGGAGAAGCTGCTATTCTGCCTAATTCATAGAAATACAACAAGTCAAACAAAATGAGGAGAAAGGAATATCCTCCAAATGAAAGAACAAGACAAACCCTCAGAAAAAAATAAAATGAAGATAAGCAACCTACCTGATACAGTGTTCAAAGTAATGGTCATAACGATGGTCATTGGACTTCAGAGAAGAATGGATGAGTGGGCTTTCAACAAAGAAATGAACCAATCACAGTTGAAGAATATAATAACTGAAGTGAAGAATACACTAGAGGGAATCATCAGTAGATTGGAGGATGCAAAGAATGGATCAGCAATCTGAAAGACAAGATAATGGAAAGCATGCAAGCTGAACATTAAAAAGAAAACAAAAGTGGATAGGTTAAGGGATCTCTATGATAGTGTGAAGTGTACTAACCTGCACATTATAGAAGTCTCAGAAAAAGAAAGAGAGGGGGAGAGAGACAGAAAACTTGAGTAATAGCTGAAAACTTCTCTCATCTTGGGAAGGAAATAGACATCTAGATCCAGGAAACACAGAGAACCCCAAACAAGATGAACCCAAGGAGATCCACACCAAGACACACAATAATTAAAATGACAAAGATTAAAGATAAAGACACACTCTAAAATGCAGCAAGAGAGAAACAACTAGTTATGTACAAGGGAAACCCCATAAGGCTATCAGCTGATTTTCAGTGGAAACTGTAAGCTAGAAGTAAGTGGCATGATATATTCCAAGTGCTGAAAGGAAAAAACTACAACCAAGAATATTCTACCTGGGAAGATGATCATTCAGAATTGAAGGAGGGATAAGGAGTTTCTCAGGCATACATCAGATAAAGGAGTTCATCACTACTAAACCAGTCTTACTAGAAATGTTCAAGGGATTCTTTAAGTGAAAAAGAAAAGGTCATAATTAAAAGAAAATTGTGAAAAGAAAAAAAATGAGTAAAAACAAACATATAGTAAAGGTAGTATATCAATCATTTCTAAAACTAGTGTGAAGGTGAAAAGACAAAAGTAGTAAAATCGATATTTAAAAAAATTAGGGACTCATAAAACAAAAATGTAAAATATGACATATAAATAAAATGTGGACATGAGGAGTAGAAATCTAGTTCTTTGAGAATTTGTTTAAACTTAAGTGACCATCAACTTTAGACTGCTATATACTTAGGATGTTATATATGAACCTCATGGTAATGACATACCAGCAAACTCTGATACACCAAAAAATAAAGAGAAAGGAATCCAAGCGTAATACTAAAGTCATCAATTACAAGAGAAGAGAAGAAGGAAGGAACAGAGAAAAACTACGAAAATGAGAAAACAGTTAACAAAATGGCAATAAGTATGTACCTACCAATAATTAAATGGCCTAAATGCTCTGATCAAAAGACATAGGGTAACTGAATGGATTAAAAAAAACAAGACCCATCTATATGCTGCCTACAAAAGACTTGCTTTGGACTTAATGACACATACAGACTAAAAGTAAAGGGATGGCAAAAGATATTCCAGGCAAATGGAGGTGAAGAAAAGCTGGGATAAGCAATATTTATATTAGACAAAAGAGACTTTAAAACAAAGACAGGAGACAAAGAAGGGCATTACATAATGATAAAGGGATCAATCTGAGAGAATATATAACAGTTATGAGTATCTATGCACTCAAAATTGGAGCCCCTGAATACATAAAGCAAATATTAACAGACATAAAGGGAGAAATTGTCAGTAATACAATAGTAGCAAGAGACTTTAACACCTGATTTACATCAATAGATCATCCGGACAGAAAATCAATAAAGAAGTAGTGGCTTTGAATGACAGACTAGATGGAGTTAACAGAAATACAGTACTTTCCATCTCAAAGTAGCAGAATACACATTCTTTTCAAGTGCACATGGAACATTCTCCAGGATAGATCACATGTTAGGCTACAAAACAAGTCTCAATAAGTTTAAGAATACTGGGGCACCTGGGTGGCTCAGTCGTTAAGCATCTGCCTTCGGCTCAGGTCATGATTCCAGGGTCCTGGGATCAAGCCCCGCATCAGGCTCCCTGCTCAGGGGGAAGCCTGCTTCTCCCTCTCCCACTCCCCCTGCTTGTGTTCCCTCTCTCGCTGTGTCTCTCTCTGTCATATCAATAAAATCTTTAAAAAAAAAAAAATTTAAGAATACTGAAATCATATCAACCATCTTTTCTGACCACAACCGTATTAAACTAGAAATCAGTTACAAGGAAAAAAAACCTAGAAAAAACCCATACATGTGGAAGCTGAACAACAAGCTACGAAACAACCAAAGAGTCAAGACAGAGGAAGTTAGAAAAAAATACATGGAAACAAATGAAAATGAAAACACAACAGTCCAAAATCTTTGGACACAGTAAAAACAGTTCTAAGAGGGAAGTTTACAGTTGTACAGGCCTATCTCAAATCTCAAGAAACAAGGAAAATCTCAAACAATCCAACTTTACATTAAAGAAACTAGAAAAATAACAAAACCCAAAGTTGGAAGAAGGAAATAATAAAGATGAAAGGAGAAATAAATGAAATAGGGACCCCCCCCCCAAAGAAAAGAAAAAGAAGCAAGATCAGTGAAACCAAGAGCTAGTTCTTGAGAAAGATAAAATTGAGAAATGTTTAGCCAGACCCATCCAGAAAAAGAGGACTTGAATAAAATCAGAAATGAAAGAGAAGTTACAACTGACACCACAGAAATACAAAGGATTATAAGAGACTACTATGAAAAAGTATATACTGAAAATTGGACAACCAAGAAGAAACAGATGAATTCCTAGAAACACATAATTTTCCAAAACTAAATCAGGAAGAAATAGAAAATCTGAACAGGTCAACTACTAGTAATGAAATTGAATTAGTAATCAAAAAACAATCCAGGACCAGATTGCTTCACAGGTGAATTCTACCAAACATTTGGAGAAGAGCTAATACCTATTCTTCTCAAACTAGTCCAAAAAATAAAAGAGGAAGGAAAGCTTCCAGATTTATTCTAAGAGGCCAGCATTACCCTGATACCAAAACCAAACAAAGACACTACAAAACAAAACCAAAAACAACCTACTTGGTGAATATAGATTCCAAAAAAAAAAAATCAAAATTTTATCAAACCACACTCAACAATATATTAAAAGGATTGTTCACCATGAACAAATGGGATTTATTCCAGGGATGCAAGGATGGTTCGATATCTGCAAATCAATCAACATGATACATCACATTAGCAAAATGAAGGATAAAAATCATATCTCAATAGATGCAGAAAAAGCACTTGACAAAATTCAACATCTGTTTATGATAAAAACTCTCTACAAAG